TAATACCAATAATACAATACTATCATCCCTGTTTTGCATATATATAAGCTTAAGGTAGTTTTGATTCCTTGGGTCCCTCATTAATGTGTTTGTACTCCCAAAGTCATTCAACATCAACATCCTTTAATTCCATTTTTCTATGAACGTATCAGAAGCTACAAAACTGAAATGGCTCTAAGTTTTAAAATTATTGTGTGGTTGCAATCATAATTTGCTAATGCCTGTGCCTAAGTCACTTCCTGGGTACTACGCTAAACAATCTCTCAAAGATTGACTTTCTTGAGCCAGTACTGTGGCTCAGCAGGTTAAAAAGGCTGCCTGCAGGGCCAGCATCCTATATGGGCTCCAGGTTGAGTCCTGGCTGCTCCACTGCTGATCCAACTCTCTACTTACATGCCTGGGAAAGCAGCAGAGGATGGCCCAAGTGCTTGGGCCCCTGCACCTATGTGGGGCACCCAGAAGTAGATCCTGGCTCCAGGCTTTGGTCTGGCCCAGCGCCGGCCTTTGCAGCCATTAGAGAAATGAACCAGGGATTGTAACATCTCTCTCTCTCCCTCTCTCTCTGTAACTCTGACTTTCTAACTTTCAAATAAATAAATAAATCTTAAAAAAAATGACTGTCTAAAATTTCTAGCTCCCATCTGCTCATATTCCAATTTCACCTTCAGCTGTGGCTATGAAAAAGTTTGGAGAAGGAAGACCATAGGGTCAAGGGATAACAAATAGAGAAGTTCATCTCAGAGTGCACCACCAGTAATCTGCTTGGTCAGAATGTTCACAGTCAGGGTTGATTGGTAGCTCCTGAGAATCGAATACTGGGTTTCCCATTCTTCTCTTTTCTGAGTGGAAGTTTATATTACAATTATTCTACTCCCTATGAACACTGTATTGTAAGTATGAGAGGTGTTTGTAAAACATAATTAATCATACCAAGAAGAATTTTATGTAAATCTGGTGGTCCAGAAGTCATATCAGCTAAAGACTGTGAATAGTGAGCTATCAGGGATTTCGGAGGAATACAAACGTTCTTCTTGAAGGGAGAAGTAGTGAGACTTTCCTATCTCTGTGAAAAGGGTGTTAGTGGTTTTTTGTTTGTTTGTTTGTTTGTTTGTTTTTGACAGGCAAAGTGGACAGTGAGAGAGAGAGAAGAGAGAGAAAGGTCTTCCTTTTCCATTGGTTCACCACCCAATGGCCACTGCGGCTGGCACACTTCGGACAGTGCACCACGCTGATCCTAAGCCAGGAGCCAGGAGCCAGGAGCTTCCTCTGGTCTCCCATGCACATGCAGGGCCCAAGCACTTGGGCCATCCTCCACTGCACTCCCTGGCCACAGCAGAGAGCTGGACTGCAAGAGGAGCAACCGGGACAGAATCCGGCACCCCGACTGGGACTAGAACCCGGTGTGCCGCGCCGCAGGCGGAGGATTAGCCTAGTGAGCCGCGGCGCCGGCCAAGTGTTTTGAGTAGTCAAGGAACACACTGTAACAAAGAAACACGTCTCCTGTCCACGTCCCCTAATCTTGTGACAATTCAACTCCTCAGTTTTTAGGATGTGTATCCCCACAAAAAATCTCATCAATGCTCTAGAAAAAGGACTACTTTTGCCCACAAATATTTTACAGCTGTCACATCTGATAAAGTTCTCACATAGCAGGTGACATAGAAGTGAACAGAAGTGATTATTGAATTTGAGAAGCTGACATGGGAGGTGTGAGCAGAACCTATACATGGAATCTCAGAAGCTATTGAGCAATGGCTTAAGGGTCCCCCCTTACTTCATGCTACTTTGTGGGCAAAAGTGGCACAAAATTATCTCCAATCATGTGGGTGGAGTCTAGACATAGAGTACGCAGAATGCCAATAGAGAAGGAGCCTGATCCTAAAACATGACATGGTAGATGTCATAATGTTAAGGATTAAAAATTTCTCATATTATTTTCACTCTGTAAAAGGAGAACATTGTTCTGGCTGTTAAAATACTTATTGTTCACCTTAATGATTTTGACCATTTTTAGGAAGTTTTATTCACACGGATGCAAAATCATGCTATGTATTAAATTGTGTCCCCACCTCCAACTTATATATTGAAATCATGACAATGCAATTGCATTTGGAGATAGGGCTTTTTACAAGTAATTAGGTTAAATTATATCATATGTCTGTGTTTCCTAATCAGATAGTCCTGAAGCCTAGTAAGAGGAAGACTGATTTCTCTTTCTCTCCAGAAGCACACGCCAAGAAGTAATTTGAGGACATGGTGAGAAGATGGGAGAGGGTAAGCCAAGAAGAGAGCCCTCATCGGCTGAGCTGTCACATGCACCCTTCGCTCTGGAACTAGAGTAGCTCCACAGCTATGCACCGATCCCTTTGCTACTGAGTGTTTCAGGCATTCAACAGTCTCTCTTCTCTTGGGATGATTGGGATTCAAACATGAATCAACCTTGGATGAACTCTAGAAACTACTCTGCAGTTAGTTTCCCAACAGGTGAGCCCTATGCATACTTCAGGGGCTGTTTCTCTGAAGGGTAGGCTGTAGCACTTAAATTGTATTCAGTAAGCAGTTCTTCACAGTAGGAACAAATCCATTACTAGTTACTCAGGCTAGGTTGGAAACCAACAATCTGTCAGCTTTTTATTATAGCTCTTTTTATTATTATTTTTAAAGCAGTGTTTGAAAAACATCCTATATAATGCACTCTTACCACACTTATCTAATATTGTACTTTGTTTATATAAAAATATACAACTGTATAATTCCATTGCATTTTATTTACCTTTGATTATTTTATAATTCTACATATGTCTGAACCTCATAATGTACTTTTATTATTTGTAATTTAAATATGTGATCTCCAAGATTTTAAGACAAGAAAAATAAATGCCTCTTTTTATTTACCTACATATTTACCAATTTCTTTATCAATCCTCATATTTTATCAGTAAATACTTTCATAGCTACCAAATCATAATTTCCTCCTTTACAATTCACTTATGTGACATCATTTCCCGCCATTCTGAAGTACTTCTAACATTTCTTACAATGCAGGATACAACAATTCTCTCAAATTAAACTAAATCTAAATGTCTTTTATTTTGCCTTCTTTTTTGAAAGACTTTTTTGGTCTGTTGTACAAGCCCAGGCTAACTCTTCTCTTTTAGTTCCTGTATATTTGTTTTCCTTCACTTTGCTTCCATGGCTTTGTGCGAGATCCCAGCTGTCATTCTCATAACTGGTCCTCTGGCCTGGTTGGCCTGGTAGTTATGATTTTCCTCTGGGGTTCCCTTAAGAACTCATTTTATTTGTTCTCAGCAGTTTGATTATAATATGTATTGAGGTGGTGCTCGTTGTATGTAACCTGCTTTGGAATCATTGAGCTCATTATATCAGTAGATTTACCGATTTTACAAAATGTGGAATACTTTCTACTACCATTATTTCAAGTCTTTTTTTTCTGTTCCACGTTGTATAAGTTTTTTCTAGATTTCAAATTGTACATGTTACACTTCTTAAATTATTGAATTTAAGAATCAATAATTTAAGGTATTGAATTTCATTCATTTAATTTTTTCTTCTTTATACATCAGTTTACCTTTCTGTGTTGTTCTGTCTTCAAATTCATTGATTCATTCTTCTGTAATGATCAATAAACTGAGAAATTCTGCTCAATGTTTGTCATGTTACATTTTCTATTCTTTGTTTTTTATATTTTTATGTACTTTCTAAAATTGTTCTTCTCTTCACCCACTATATTAGTATTTTTCTCTAGATATAATAACATTTAAGTTAACCTTTTTAAAGCCATTAAAAACATCAATATCCAAGACATAGACAGCACTTTCCTTTTTGTATAATTTTTTTCTTGGCTCTTAGTGTCATTTCTCTACCTCTTTCAATATTCTATAATGTTCTGCCATATGGTGAATATTGTGTCTAAATGATACTTCACAATGCTTTGTATTGCATGAAATCTGTACATATTCACACCCATATTGTATATCATCTGATACACTTGATTATGTACATCATATATATTGTAAATTGTATAATATATAAATATGATATATGGAGATTATGCACTTTCCATGATAAAATTGTTTTCCATCATATATACCATATGTGTGGAAATACATATTGATACATATTTTATTCTTTGTGAATTCGACATTATATATTATTTCATGTGTCATGTATTATACATCAGAATTCAAATATCATACCCTGTATTACTTTTTATCCTGATTCGGAATACCTTTAAGTACTTTGAGTGAGGGCCTAGCAAAACAAGCAGATGCCAAGTATTATCTCCCTCAGACTGTGTGACCTTTAAAGATCTTGATTTATGCTGACTTGCAATCCTCTTGGCCTGAAATCCTTGATAGTCAGGAAATAGCTGCCTCTGATTCTCAGCAAATCCTGTTTACTTTGAAAACAATAATTCTTTTTCTTTTCATACACAGATAAGCTCTGTTCAGGAACTCTTCCTCTTAAAAATTTTCCTACATGGTTTTTAAGTCGTAAGTCTATGCCTTTAGAATTCGCAAATGCCAAAGAGAAAACACAAATCCTGTTTTACTCTGGTGACTTTTTTTCCTCTCAGGCATTTAGACAATATCCTGGCTTTCTGGGTAGGTTCCAACATCTTACAGTTTTTCTCTTTTTTTTCCCCAAAATTATGTGTTGTTTTAATCGAAGTATTGGTCAGCTACAAGCTGATACATCATTGTAGAAAATGAAAAACCTGTCTTCATTCCGTTTGTTGTTTGTACTGATTGTCCTGATGCTCATATAACATACATGGCTCCCCTCCTGAAAACAAATCTTTTTCACTAGTGGTCGGTTTGAGCTGAAGCTCTGTTTCTTCCCTAAATTTTTGTCCAACTTCACTGCTCTCAATGAAGGTAAGTACTGATCTACATCTGTTTCCCTCATTTATTGTTTCTGATCTATAGTCCTCAGCCAAGAAAGCCTGGTGTATGCACTTCATCCTGTTCTTAACTTACCTCCTCACTATCACTAACAACGTCTTAATGACCAAACCCAAGGGATGCTTTTGTAGACCTATAAAACTTGGAATATCTGAAGCATCTAAGATCTGCAAATCATTCTTTTTTCTGAAATTTGCTACCTCCTTAGCTTCTACAGCAGTGTTGTTTTCAGTTGTATCTCTCTGGTTATTCCTTCTCAGGAACATTTTAACGGGCTCCCAATTTCAATCCTGACTTTTTAATGCCATCTCTCTCCAGGCTCCCCTTTGTGACACCCTGCCTTTCTCATTCTAACTCACTTTCCATGTTTGAATTCTTCAATTTTTTTTTTTTTGTATTTTGCTTCCTCTTCTGTAATGATGACTCCAGTGTGCCAGTTTTCGATATTCATGACTACATTTTTTTTAAATAAAGTCACAAAGCTACTGCCTCTGGATATATCTCCACTGAGGTAACTTTGTTTCCAAGAGAATTCATTGTTCTGAGCTTACTCCATCTATTTCAATAGCTTGTATTTCTTGTATTTATGTCCAATCAGTTGGCTTTCTGATCAAGTAATCAGCCACTTTAGAGATTTGGTATACACACACTCATTATATTATATAAAACTTAATAGCCCTTATATATGATGGGTAATTTTATGGTATCACTAGATTAAGGAATATCTAGATACCTGGAAAAGTTTTATGTTGGGTGTGTCTGTGAGGGTGTTTCCAAAGGAGATTAGCATGCAAGGAAGCGTGGACCAGATGGGAAGACTCAGCCTCAATCTAAGTGGCCACTGTCAATTGGCTGGGGATCTGGAGAGAATCAATGCAGAAGGAAAACTGATGTCTTGCTCTGAGAAATTAGACATGCTTGAATCCTGCCTTGGATGATAATTGTGGGTTATTTCACTCCAGGTCTAAAAGCAATGGCCCCCATGCTTTCATTATTTGAGAATTATTCCCTTGACTCCCCTGGTTATGAGACACACATACTCATAATGATTAATGCAAGCATGATGCCAGGGCCACCAGCCTGGAGACAACCTGTTGTTGAAATTGTCAGCTGCCATAATTTAATGAGCCTATTACCCTAATAAACCCATTTTATAATCCTGCATATCCCATTGATTCAATTGTGCATTCTGATGTGTTGATCTTCTCTAGAGAATCCAAATACACTCTTCTAGAATTTTGATGGTATCAGGAAGTAGATTTAGTTCCTTAAACCATTTTAAGTTGATTTTTGTATAAGCTGTAAGGTAATTCTGCATGCGGAGATCCAATTTTTTCAGCATCAATTGTTGAAGAGACTGTCCTTTCTCCAGGTATTGATTTCAGCTCATTGGTCAAAGGTTAATTGGTTGTAGATGTGTGGATTAATTCCTGCGGTTCCACGGTTTCACATGTCTATTTCTGTGCCAGTACCAGGTTATTTTGATTATAACTCTCCGGTAGTATGTCTTGAAGTCTGGTATTGTGAATTCTCCAGCTTTGGTTTTGCTGAATAAGATTTATTTAACTATTGAGCTCTCTTATGCTTGCATATGATTTTTTGAAAAAGTTTATTAAATAATTTTTTTTTGAGAGGTGCGGTTACAGTCAGAGGCTGAGACAGAGAGAAAGATCTTCCATCCACTGGTTCACTTCACTGGCTCACAACGGCTGGAGTTGGGCTGATCTGTAGCCGGGAGACAGGAGCTTCTTCCTGGTCTCCCACTCAGGAGCAGGGGCCCAGGCACTTAGACCAAGCTCTATTGCTTTCTTAGGTCATTAGCAGAGAACTTGATTGGACGAGGTGCAGCCAGGACACAGAACCAACATCCTATAGGATCTTAGCGCCAAAGGCAGAGGCTTATTGTGCTATGCCAACATATCAACCCCTCCATACAACTTTTAACATCATTTTTTCCTAGATTTGAGAAGAATGACATTTGTATTTCGATTGGGATTACATTGGATCTATAAATTGCTTTTGATAGTATGGACATTTTGATGCCATTAATTCTTCCAATACACAAACAAGAAAGTTTTTCTTGTCCATTGTTTGTGTCTTATATTTCTTTCTTTAATGTTTTGTAATTTCCGTTGTATAGGTATTACAGGTTTTTTGTAGCTATTGTGAATGGAACTGAACTTACAAATTCTTTCTCAGCCTTGGCATTGTCTGTGTATACAAAGGCTATTGAATTTTGTGTGTTGATTTTATATCCTATAACTTTACCAAACTTTATTATGCCTTCCAATTGTCCCATAGTGAAGACTTTTGGTTACCCTGAATGTAGAATCACGTCATCTACAAACGGATAATTTGACTTCCTCCTTCCACATTTTTATCCCTTTGATTACCTTTCCTTACCCAATGGCTCTGGCTAAAACTTCCAGGACTATAGGAATAGCAATGTTGAAAATAATATCCTTGTCTGGTTCTGGATCATATTTTTTGGGAATACTTCCTACCTTTCCCCATTCAATATGATACTGACTGTGTGTTTGTCATATGTTGCCTTAACTGTATCTATAAATGTTCCTTCTCTATTTAATTTGCTTAAGATTTTTATCATGAAAGTGTGTTATATTTTATAAAATGCTTTCTCCGCATTTGTTAAGATAATAACATGGTTTTTATTCTTCCATTTGCTAATATGATGTGTCACATTTATTGGTTTGCTTATGTTGAAACATCTCTGTGTACCGAAGCTAATTCCCATTTGATCCAGATGAATGATATTTCTGATGTGTTGATGCATATATAGTTAGCATTTCGTTGAGGAATTTTGCAACTATGTTCATCAAGGATATTTGTTGTATAGTTTTCTGGGTTTTGGAATTAAGGTGATGGTGGCCTCTTGGAATGAGTTTGGGATGATTCGCCCCCTTTCAAATCTTTTGAATAGCTTGAGAATTGGAATTAGTTCTTTAAAAGTTTGGTAGAATTCAGTAGTGAATTAGGATCTGAGCTTTTCTTTGTTGGGAGGATCTTTATTACTGATACAATCTGTGATGGAGGTTTTGACCCCAGAAACATATATATTATAGAAGATTTTTAAATAAAATAATACACCATAGTTCTATATAATCATTCTCACATTTACAGACACACATATGAATTTATAAAGTACTCACGGTATTTTCCCAAAGTGTAGTTTTTCTACTGCAACATATTATGAATTGATTTTTAAAGCATGTGATATTTTCCCTCATTATATAGTATCAACTAAATATATCTATATCTGCAGAATGAAGTCAATTTTTGGGAGATGTTCCTGAAAAGATACTTCAACAACTAAATAATTCAACTATCATTAGCTGGATTTGCATCATCTAAAATACTCAGGGGATCTTCCTTTCAGGAAGAATCATACACTTTTCTAGGATCAATAGAAATGTTCATGTTTACAAATGATCTGTATAGTTTTCAAAATTATGGCAATGTACTGCCTTAATAAGTTTGTCCAATTACACCTGAAAAATATTTGGCTCTTTTTCCAAGATTCTCTCATGCATTTTCAAACTACGCAAAAGAATCCAGGAATCAATGGCAAGTTTTTGTCCTGACCTTCCAAGTATTTTGTTTCCATAATTCTTGACCTTTCTCTAGAGGTAGATAGTGGTTATATTTTCACCTGAGAAATATGCTGAATTTTGAATCAACTCAATCCAAAATAAGATACATATAGGTTCAGGAAAATGGAAGCATTTAGATAAGCACAAATTGACAGACTACTGTGCTAGTAAACAAAACATCATAAAATCAATGTGTTCAAGTGGAAGAAATAAGTTTATAACAACGTGATACCCCCCCCCCCCACACACACACAAATATCCACATTCGAATCTCTAAGTGCGGTCTTTCAGGCATAATCATAGAATAATATAAATGTTCACCTGGAAGTTCTTAAGTGGGGGTATGGCTTTCCCCCACCAGACTTAGTGCATAGGCAGTGCATTACAGTGATCCTGAGTGAAGTGTAGTCCAGAATTGAGCACATGCCACATTGTAATTCAATCAGGCTTTTCCAAAACCTATACTCTGAACACATTTGCCTCTATTCTGAGGCTTCCTTAATAAGATCATAGTTGGAAAACTATCTGGGATCATGTTTATTTGAAAGTTCATGTAACAATTTTATTGGATCATGCAATATCCAGATATTTGGTTAGACATTATTTGTTGATGTGTCTGAGAGGGTATTTCTGGATGAGAGTAACATTAGATTGAAGTGGTAGATGGAGTAAAGCAGATTTGCTTCTTTATTACTCAAGGTTATAGAGAGACAGAATTTTTTTAACATTTATTTAGTAAATATAATTTTCCAAAGTACAGTTTATGGATTACAAAGGCTTTTCCCCCACATAACTTCCCTCCCACCCGCACCCCTCGCATTTCCCACTCCCTCTCCCATTCCATTCACATCAAGATTCATTTTCAATTATCTTTATATACAGAAGATCAATTTAGTATATATTAAGTAAAGATTTCATCAGTTTCCACCCACACAGAACATAAAGTGTAAAATACTGTTTGAGTACTAGTTATAGCGTTACTTCACATTGGACAACACATTAATGACAGAGATTCCACATGAGGAGTAAGTACACAATGACTCCTGTTGTTGACTTAACAATTTGACACTCTTATTTATGGCGTCAGAAATCTCCCTAGATTCTAGTCATGAGTTTCCAAGGCTATGGAAGCCTCTTGAGTTTGCTGACTTCAATCTTATTTAGACAAGGTCATAGTCAAAGTGGAAGTTCTCTCCTCCCTTCAGAGAAAGGTACCTTCTCCTTTGATGGCCCGTTCTTTCTACTGGGATCTCACTTGCAGAGATCTTTCATTTAGGTCCTCTTTCATGTACAATTTAATACTTTATCCCTTTTAGTAGTTTTTTGTTCTAGTTAATACTATTGATTGAACTCTGTAATTAACACACATTTATTCTTAGGTGTTGAAATTTAACTGAAAAGTGATCCCTGTTAAATATAAGAGAGGGAATAAGAGAGGGAGGAGAGACAGAATTGATCGGATATATATACACAGACAAGAAAAGTGTTTTTTATGGGAATTAGCAACTGAGAAATCTTGTAATGGAAGTCGTTGAAAGGCTGCCAGCTTGTGTGGCTCAGTCCAAGCCTGAGTCTCAGAATCAGGGGATCCAAGACTATAACTCTCAGTTTGAAAGCAAAATCCTGAATCTATCAAGGGGATCACTGATGTAAGT